TCTGTAGGATAACGGCGGGGGGTGACGGGGACGGGACGGGGGTGGCGCTCCCGTTGTATCTGCCCGCCTTAATGAGATAAGGGGTGAAGGAGAATCAGATGACAGATTTAGCGTCTCGGAGAGCCTTTGATGCGGTTCTTCAGGCTGCCAAGGAAACAACGGTCAGCGTTAGGCGCTGGGTGGGCTAATCCCTTTCTGATGACTCGGGAAACGCGAAGCATTTGGGAAGGGTGCAAAGCGATGCCGGGTGATCGAGACTAGAGGTAGCTACACGCCCTCCTGTAAAGTCACTTTTACAGCTAGGAAAAGGAGTAGTGAGCAGCACAGTGGTCGGTGGGATCCGGTGATAACCACAAAACCGCGGAAACTTCCATATTTATGTCTTCCAGATTAACTGACACTTCTGAAGGGAGGGCAGAGGGAAGGTCAGTAAACAACTGAAGGTGGATTTTTTTTGTGTGTGTGCTGGTTACCAAAGTGGACTCTTAAGAAAAGGAACAGTATAAATCCTGGGTGTTTTGTATCATGATTCACTCAAGTGTTAAATCATAAATTCTAGCATTATGATTACAAAGAAATCCCTGAAATAGACACATCGTAGACAATATACAAACTTCTCAAAGTTTAATACAAAGAAGAAAAGGTCCTACTTGTTTTGTGTTAAATGTAGATGTCTAAAAACCTCTTAACCCACGTCTTTCCTGAGGGGAAAGTAAAAAATAAAAGCCTGGGAAGTGTGTAATCAACAGTTTAATAATAATAATAATAGACACCTATGCCAGCGACAACAATAGTCAGTTATATTCCTACAGGGAGCGTGTTTCTTGCTGCAGGTTACGAGGCAGTTGCCAGCTTACAAGGAGCAGCTTTGCTGGCAGGTGAGCTCTCTCCCACAGCCTCTGCGGAGCACAGAACTGTGTATTGAGCAAGACCGACTTAGCTCCACACTGGCAGGCCAGCTCCTGGGCTGCCAGGCAGTGCCTCAGCTCCGAGGGGAGAAGAGCCCCCACCTGCAGCGGGAGCGCAGGGCCTGACTCCTCTGGGTTGGAAGGGGCAGGATCACTGCGCTGTGAGCCACCCTAGCCCACAGGTTCGCTGGCTGCTTCAGCGACTGTGAGATGAACTTAGGCATGGATGCTGATGGGTGGGTGGGTAAGTGGGTGGGTGGGAATTTTGTTACTCCTAAACTCACTAAAAGGCGTTTAGACCTAAATTTTGATTTTTTTTTTCTTTTAGGTTAATGGAGGGTTTTTTCCAATGTAGGTGAAAGAAACACCTACTTTGTGCTGTTTATAAAAATCTGTAACGGATAGAATGACAAATAATGTCTGGATTGTAGTTGTGATACAAATAAGTTATCAACTTAATGTATTGTAAGTACTTGTCTCCCCATTGCAATGATGGGTTTTCCCAAACGTATGAAATTTTTTTTTTCTTTTTTCCCCTCTACATGCATGAATAAATGCAGTGTACCCATTTTATGGCAAAGTAGTTGCACTGTTGAAGAAAATACTGACTTACATTCACAGGTATGTGATTAGGCTACCTATAAGAACTATAACTTAGAAATACAGCCTTTTTTATTCTTCCTTTCCTTTCTTTCCATCTCTTCCAATTTAGTCCATAATAAAATTCCTATTGATTTCAGTGGCACAGGCTCAGACTTTGTTGATGTAAAAGCAAGTAGGAAATTGTGTTTTGCCCCTGTTGGAGTTGTTTTTGCTTGGAGAAGCTCTGGTTTTGGTGAGTTTTTCAGCCTTGGCTGGAGAAGGGGTATATCCTCAGCTGGCTGCCTTTCTCCCCTCTTGGAGAGGAGAGGTTAATCAGAGCTGTGGCAGGGATCATGCTGAGCGCTCCTCTCACATGGCTGCGTAGCAAAGAAGCTCTTGATGCTGTTTTCAAAGAAAGGAGGAGCAGCCGCAGAGGAATTTCAGAAGCTCAAAGCTTACACTTGTGTGTACACAACAATCGTGCTGTTGGGAGACTTGGCAACATTAGTTGTTTTAACAGTAAGCTGGAGATGAGTATTAGGAGTTCGGAATTCAGGTGAGGGGCCTTCATAATGCTCGCATAAAAGGAAATATATACGTTTGCTGCTTCTTGTTGCGTTTTCTGAGGTGGGCAGTGCTACCGCTCTTTGATGCAAGTGCTTCTAAGAAGGATGGGCATTGTGTCTAAATTCAAACCCCCAGCTTGCAGGTGTCAGAAATAGGTTTCAGAAGTCTATTGTGGTGGCAAAGGCACCACAAAACCATGGGAGGGAGAAAGCAGGGCCAGTGGGTTTGCTGGAAAGAGTTACAGGACTTCTGAGGAAGAGAGGGCTCCCTGCACAGTGCTTTCCTGTGGAGCTGATTCATTGCACAGTCGTTGGGTAGACCATGGATAACCCCTGTATAATAATATCGTTCTCCCTAAGGGTGATGAACAAAGTTGGATTTTTCAAGTTACAAAAAAGGGCGATGAAGGTTCAGTTCTGGTTGTGGCTGTTGGTTCCTGCAGTTATATATCACAGAATCACAGAATCATCTAGGTTGGAAAAGACCTTGAAGATCATCCAGTCCAACCATTAACCTAATATATATATCTATCTCTCTATATATATATATATCTTATATGTCCTGCAATTATATATATTTATAAATCTTATATATAAAATGGTATATCTGATTGTGGACAGCAATCATTATATATGCAAAATTGTTGCACGTAGATAACAAAAGGTCTTAAATTACTTCAAATTACCATTTACCTTAAATTACTTTAAGGTAAATAACACTCTCCAGATGCAGGTCTCCAAATAACAAAACAGACTCCAGGTACAATACAATGGTGCATTTCAGGAGAATAGTCCAGCAGAAGCAATGAGTAGTGCTGAAACTAAATCCAAATTGTGTTCTTTGGTACAGTAGTGTGTGTCACTGAATTATATGCTCTGGGAGATTCATTGTGAGTTACAGAATTTTGCAGTTTGCAAGGCTAAGAGGATAATTCTGTGTCAAATATAATCTGATTTTATTTGATAGGTGTGGTTTATTCTTCTGTTTATATTTGATCAACTATAGTTGATCTGTTTCTATACTGCCTAATTACTGGGATTATGATATTATATCAAAACTTCTGAATCTGCTGTTGAGCACTTTTAAGAAGCAGTGACATTTTAACAGTTTTGAGATAACTGTCACACTTCCCTGTTGGCTTTTTGCTAAGAGGTAGGCAGTGCCCATTTCTGGGGCAGAGAAGGATGGCTGTGTTCATGTGGTTTTTCAGGCTAGTTAAATACAGATTTCTACTGTATTTTCATTTGTGTTCATTTTCTTAATTCAGCAGGTTTCAATCGTCTGCTGTTTAAGGCCAGTGACAAATTTTCTAATAGTAACGGGAAGAGACCAGGCTTGGTGAGTCTCGTGCATGCATTGGGACCCCTGTCCAGCTGCGTGACCTGATGTGTGGGGCATGGCTGGCCCGTACATGTAGCTTGATGACAGGCTCTACCTGGCTCATCTCATCATGGAGCAGAAGCAGGGTCACAAAGCCACAGGGGAGCTGGGGAAGTGCCCTGCAGGAAGGTCTGGTAGGCACACCAGGGAGTCAGGGTGATGCCCTTGCAGGGTCTGCCCAGCAGTGCAGCCTGGCCAGCTCCAGCCACATGCACCATGTCCTCTGCTGCGTGATAGATGCCTGTCAGGTTGGCGTTCTACAAATTAGGAGTGTACTGCTGTTGTAATGCACTGTTTAGTCTGGCTTAAAGGATGTTTGTGCTCAAGAAAGGCTTGGGCATTCCCAGCCCAGGAGTACTGTCAGATCTTTCCAATGCAGATGACACTGAGGGATCAGATCAGCTTCTCCTTCCAACGTTGTTATTAATGTACTTTGTAACTCCAGAGCCATTTCCAAGACATTTCTTCTCCATGCCTCAGCTTCTCCACTTGTGAAATAGCTACAGTCATGATTGCAGCCCTCTGTACATGAATATTTATCCAAGCATGCCAAATATTTTAAATTGCATCCTCTTTGTTACTGTAACGGGGAGCCTAGAAGTCTAACTTCAGATAGGGATTTGTTGGTCAATCAAAACCTGTTGATATTTAGCCATGGAGCTAACAACGTTATAAAGCTAATGGGAAGGACAGCAGATGACTTTCTGTTTCCAGAGAAGTTAAACATTTACTGTTCTCTGGAGCTGTGGGACAAATGTTCAGTGGGAGGCAGGTAGACCGTGTCGTACTCCATGAGACAGCCTCCTAGCTACCCTGTGTTTGTGTGCTTTAGAGCTTGGTCATTCCCTTACTCTCATTTTTTTAAAATCAGAGAACTGTTTAATCACATAGGCACTTCCTGGACTTGACATTTAAGCATTCTTTTAATAATAAAAAACAATAGCTCACAAATACAGTGCAAAGATTTCTTGTTATTCACTTGATTCATAAAGTGTTGCAACATTTAGCAATGTTGTATCCAAATGCCTATATAAATTATGAATAATAAGAGCTTGAGATCTTTCATCCTTTTCAGAAGACATCAGAGGATCAGATACGGTGTGGGAGAGTTCCCACATATATTATCAGTTATTGCAATTCTGCATATTGTGAACTTACAGAGCTTCAACCTTGTATTCAATAAAAGCTAAGGTATGTATTTAAATTATAACAACATATCAAGCATCACTATATCAAACACATACCAGTAGCCAAAAAATATTTAGGCTTTTCCACTGTAGCACTTGCATAAACATAAGACTTTTTCTGTGATGTTATGATAAAAGTCTGGTTGAAAAATATTGATGACCTTTTAATCATGAATGATTTTATGGCCTATATCTTTACTAGTGTTACATTATTTGTTGATAGTTCAGTACTTCATGACACAAATCACTGGTTTGTGAATTGTACAGGGCTACTGTACCTACAGTAGAGCATTCTTCACAGAAGTATATGTGTGTGTTAG